AGACGCAATGTTAAATATTTTTCTATAATTTTTTTTAAAAGCTGTGAAGAATGCATGTCTTCAGTCAAAATCTCATGTTCTAAATCATGCATATTTAGTTCAGTAAACAGTGCGTCATTTGCAAGTTTTTGATTTATAAAGTGCACCAGATAGGTTTTAAGATTTTTTTTAGAAGATATTTTTAAATTATGGGGGTCTGCCCCACACACCAAAACTTTAAAAACGTGCTCACATTTTTCAACAATCTATAAAACACTACAGGATGGAAAGATTAAACCACCTCGATTTTTAAAAGTTGTAAAACTTTTCCACGATGAACTGCAAAATATAGAATACTCATGATCAGTGGATAAAGTCTTCGGAGAAATTAAACTATTGGCACAAGTCAGACATGTAATTTTACTATAAAGTTTTCTTACGATGAACCCTGCAATATATCCAAGTATAGCTTCTTTATAAATTGAAGTAGAGACTGATGAAAGACAACCAGCAAGGTCTTTAAAATAGTTAGAATCCTCACTAGATATTATATTTTGCTCAACAAGAGGAGATCTCCTTTTACTCCACTTTAATAAAAAGATTGAGCCAGAAGATTTTTGGTCAAAAGTAAAGCAGTTGCTAAATTTTGATCCTATGATAGAGTTTCTTAATAAAATTCTTTTTAAAGCAAATTTTAACTGACATGCATCTGGATTGTTATTGAAACCATTTTTGCCTCGAATACAAGCAAATAATAATTCAACATGATTATGTGACAGTTTATATGTTAAAATAAATTCAAAAGGATTCTCATGTCTAGATAAAAGGTTAAGGGATAAATCTCTAACACTTGTGGCTGCTACAATGAAACCAAGTACAAATGTCTTTCTTCTGTGTTTAATTAAAGAAGTTTTAGATAGGTCTGATAAATTAACTAAGTAATTTACAGATGTTTCTATGGTTTCTATCCATTTTGGAGCTTCATTCAAAAACAAAGGTTTCTTAGATCCTTTTTCAAAAAGGTTTTTAGAGTTTAACAAGTCAAATAATTTATCTAAAGTTCTAATAAAATTAATTGTGCCTTGGGCATCAATAAAAGTTGGATGACCTGAGACCATCAAAAACTCTATAGCATCAGCAACTGAACCACTTAGCGTTTGAGCTGCAATTTTAACATTCATTTTATGTCTGCGAAAGTCAATGTGGTAATTGCCAAGTTTATTTGCAAACTTAAATCCTTCTTCTTCTTGCAGTTTTGCAATGCTTTAATATGGTCCCACTTTATATATTGATTTTGTTCATCAACAAAGATACCAATACTACACAGAGCGTTTCGAGCTAATTTAAGCATATGACAAGGATCAGGGATATAATATATAGGATGATCATATTCAGGATGGGGAAAACTACCACACATCTCTTTAATTTTACTTCCGAATGAACACCCAAGATTCTTCATTGCACTAAAGTTGGAAATAAGTCCATCACATGTTATACTCCAAACATTCAGATTATGAGTAGCGCATAAATGTAAAGCATTTTTAATTAGACAACTTAAATCTGTTGAGGAAATTTAATCACACAATATATAGCCTATAGGACATTTCCAATGGCCTTTCAATCCAACAACCATAAAAATAAGTGCTTCTGTTGCTAGTTTATCTGGGTCATAGGCTAGAAAATTGTTTCCAAAACTAGAAAAACCTTCATATGATCCAGTAACATTATCATATCGCAGAGCAGCCCTGATATGCATAGAATCAAATATTAATGCGCAATCTTTGTATGATGAATCCTCAAATGTCTTATTTTGTAAAAACTTGAAAACATCTCCAAAAAAACCCAGGCAAACAATCTACAGATGAGGTCCAGTTTGAAAGTGAGCTTACGGCAGGTAATGAGAATGTAGATTTAACAAATTCATATGCTCTTGGAGAATAAAAGTGCAGTGTTAAAGCAAATTTTTTAACTTCTTCAGAGTATCTATAACCTATTTTTTTTTTTTTTGCCTCTATTTTTTAATTCAGATTTCAAAAGTTCTTTAGTCAGTCCAGAGAAGTTGTTCTTAAGTAATTCAGCAACATCAATGGAAATAATTTTTTTTTTCTCCAAGTTTTGAATAACTAAGTGAAGCAATTTTTTTATCTTTTCGTTTAAGCTTTTGTTTTAATATTTTAATCTTTTTTCTAAGTAATAATTTTTTTGGAGAATTTTGTTTAAGTATTTTTTCCTTAATAGTATTTGTAATATCAAGCTCTGTTACCTCTTTATTTGAGATAGAACAAATTGTTTTTTTAATGTGTGATGTATCATCATTATATAGCTGATTTCGCTTGTTATTTTTTGTTCAATGGTTCATGAAAGTCAAATATTGAAGGCACAATATTTTTTTTCAGCACACGTTTCCCATTCTCTTGACACTCAAAATCTTCTAATTTAAAATGTTTACTGCAGATTCTACTATGTTTACTAGGTGTAATTTGTAAACATTTAGTTGCTGTTGCCCATTTTTTACATAAAATTTCATCATTTAAAGGGAATCTGTGAAAAGAAATTAAACTACTTTTATCAAATCTGCTTTTACAGTTGTAAACTGAACAATTAATAACCATGTTTATTATTTGTTACTCTAAAAAAATAAAAAGTATTGTTTTTAAAAATATATCTTTTATGTTTTATAAATACACACACACACACTCAAACACATTATCCCAGACTTTATCATATATAATATCATTTGAATATATATATATATATATATATATATATATATATATATATATATATATATATATATATATATATATATATATATATATATATACATATATATATATATATATATTTTATATATATATATATTTTATATATATATATATATATATATATATACATATATATATATATATATACATATATATATATATATATATATATATATATATATATATATATATATATATATACACACATATATATATATATATATATATATATATATATATATATATATATATATATATATATATATACATATACATTATATTATATATGATATAATCTGGAGCAGGTCTAAATAAATGTCTCAGTTTAAAAATGTAAATATTCAAAATATATATACTTAAAATTAATTAAGTTAAAATAGTATGTAAACTTATCCTATATATTTCTTTATAATAAAATACAATATTTCTAAGGGTTATATATACCCTCGTTATTCAAGTAATATTACTTGAATAACGAGGGTATATATAACCCTTAGAAATATTGTATTTTATTATAAAGAAATATATAGGATAAGTTTACATACTATAACAGATATTTTAACTTAATTAACTATATAAAAACTTATCTAAGATGTTAACTTTTAAAAATTATATACCTAAAATATTTTCCGAAGGTTCAAAGTCTTTTTACTTTAAACTAAAATTACTAGCTTAGCAGTTATTTTTTATAATAGAAAGTTAAAAGTAACTGACGTTACTTTTAACCTACACTTATAAAATTATCTAATACTAAAGCATCTCACAATATCATTCCAACCTGACTAACTTTTAAATCCATTTTCTAATTTAACTGACACAAATATTTTTTGTTTGGATTTTGTTTTTGCTCTTTGTCTTTCCGTAATATTTGTTAACCAATCAGATGCTGGTTGGCAAAACAATTTATTAGCCAATCATATGCTGGTTGGCAAAAAAAATGTGCTTCACTTTTTTTCGGAAGTTAGACATCTAGTTAATATATATCATTGATAAGAGTTTATAAATATCAAGATGAAATTAAAAAAGTTAGTTTTATATACTGTATTTTTTATATACTATATTTTTATATAGCTTAGATTTATATTATTCGCTAGATTAGCTTTATATACATTATACTACTAGTCTTGAGAAGCTTTGTTTATTAAGTTGCTTGCATATTTTTGTTTGTTATTAAGTTGCTTGCATAGCAATAGGTTCAAAAATAGAACCTTGTGAAACACCTTTAGTTGTTTTTAGGAATTCACTTTGATGACTGTCATTACTAAGTCGTTGGCGATTTGATATTAAGCTTTCAAACCATATTTTAGCTTTGCTAAGCCAGTGTTTAATTGTTAGATTATGTTATGACAATTGTATCAAATACTTTTAATTATTCAATAACGATTTTTTAAACGATTCGTAATATTTCAAGCGATTTGTAATACTTTACTTGTAATATTTACAATTTGAAAAATCTCAATTAGACGATTCAATTTGTAAGAATCATTTAATAGAATGATTCGTTCAAGTTGAATACGGGCATGTTCAGTTAAACTACCTTTTCTAGAATCATTTTTAATTGCAATATTTCAGGTGATGCTCATTATAATAATAGTTTTTAAAATATAGAAAAGGGGCGGGATGATAACTCCTTTTTGGATAGGAGTAACCTTCAATTTTTTTTTATACATTGAAAAGGTTTATTTGAAGGTAATTCCACATATTCCGTAGTGGTAAAACGCTCGCTGTGTAAGGTACGGAGTTAATACGCCTGTGGTTCGAAGCCTACTCTAACTATATAAGCGACATCGATAATTATAGTATCTAGCCATTAAAATCAACACACAGAAACAAAAATTTGAATGAGCAAAAATTAAAAAATTAACATTTTCTTATTATTTTTTTGGATACTGCTTCTCTAAAATATACGATTATTAAACTCAAATCTTGATCAAAAGATTATTATCTTTTTTCTTCAAAAGGATCTTAACCATTCCTTTCTCAAGATGATTTTTAATTCATACATTCTTAGTCATTTTGGGTATTAATAAAATAATAGTTAACAAAACTATACATAAAAACTTTTTTTTTTTTTTTTAGCTTTTTCATTATAAAAAGCAATATATTTTTTCGAATTTTTATTTATTTAGTTCGGTAATAGAATGCAGATTGATTTAATCGAGTCGACCACTGGTTGTCCGTAAACAACAGCAGTAGCAACCAAATATAGATTTGGGTTACGATGGGAATGAAACTCAAAAAAAGGAAGTTCATGCATAATACGAACTCCTTCTAATATAATATCTTGCAAATATTTCAACAATTGTAATGCACATATTGAATAAAAATTTTGTTGACTTTCTCACATAAGGTTCAGGATGAGCATATTAAGTGTGAGCTTATTTCACGCAGAAAAAATTCTCCAAGAATTAATTCGCAGTGGAGATCATACTGTCATATGCAAAATAGTTAGCATCTTGTATATAACTCTTTACACAGTAATTAAGATGTTAAAGGCGTCATTGCTTGACTCAGGTTATTTACAAGTGCGCTAACTAGGTGTTTCAGCCCATCATCAGAACAATCTACTGTCAAAGTTTCAAAATCAATAATAGCTAATACTCCATCAACATCAACAGTAACCATATCTCCCTGTTCACTTTCAATTACATTTTTAGGGCCATATTTATCGTTGAGTAGCTGCATGAGATGCTGCTGAAAGTTGCCACCTCTTTTGTGCAAAGATTTAGCCGACTGAACTTGAGATGGATTTGACTCAACCTCTAAAACTACTACCAAAGTAGCGTCGGCAAACATATCACTCATTGGATTAGACAACCACTCGAGAATAACAGAACCACGATCTTGGAAAACAGTAATATGGCCATCAAATAACCTAAGAGCTGGCTTACCAACATGAATAAACTGTTCGACTTTACCACATAATTGCTTTAAGCTTGAGCAAAGAAGAGAAAACGACGATCGAAATCCAATAATTTGTCGCTGAGTTATGGTGCTAGTAGATAAATCAGTATAACTCGAAAGATCCGACGGCGCCATTACATGGTAATTGAATCCACGTTTAAGAAGAATTCCTGAAATAGGTTTACCATGCTCAGCTTTTCCGGAAGCTAAACTTCCAATTACCTTAGCCATTTTTTCCCCCCTAAAATGCAGTTCAACACTTTGACAATTTTTAGGGTTATAGACCTGAATATTGCTTATACCTCGGTCTTCAAAGTCTCTAATGATAGCAGCTTTAAGTCTGCTCATCTCGTTTTGTTCTCCGTGATTTAATACAATATGAGGAGGTCGAAGTATGTCAACGAACTCACTGATTTGTTCAAAATCAGCATGTGCAGAAAATGAGATGTAGTCAATAGATATATTTCTTTTCATTCTCTGTCCATTCATTGCTGTTACTTCCTCGGGTTCTGACATCAATTCCTTTGCAAGGGTTCCTTCAACACAATAGCCAGCTATAATAACACCATTTCGAGGGTCAGTGCACCAGGTTTCGAATAGTTCTCTCGAAAGTCCGCTTTGCATCATTCCTTAAATAAATATTTAAGCTTATACAAAATTGCAATAACTATCATTTAATTAACCGCAAATTTTTAAACAATAATTTTAGTTTATATAACATTTTAGTTTATATAACATTTTTAGGTTATATATCATTTTATATACAGTTGTAGATCAATAATGGTAGTTTTTCCTTTTTGTTTGAATTTTAAAATCAGTTTTTTTTATTCACTACAATGTTTCTATATTTAGTTTATATACATTACATAATGTGCTCACTACATAATATGATGTGCTAATTTCATTATAGGATTTGGTGGCTACATTATATAATGTGCTCACTACATTATATAATGTGCTTATTACATTATACAATGTGCTTACTATATCACATAATGTGCTTACAACATAATATGATGTGCTCAATACATATGATATACTCATAACTTTATATGGAGGAAATTAAAAAATAAAATTTCTCTCAAAAAGAGAATTTTCTCTTGAAATTGTTAAAAAGTGAAAACTCTCTCAAAAAAAAAACTTCTCCCAAAAAAAAAAAAAAAATTCTTAAAAAGAGAAGAGCATCATGCAATCGTTTGACAATCACAGAAGTCAACATACAAGAAAACTCAGATGGAGCTTGGGACTGACAAATCAAGTTTAAAGATGCTGTAGTTGCACTTCACGCATTTCATTCCATTTCATGCAAAGTTTGCAAACTGATTCTGAAGATGAAGTATCCAAATAAAAAAACAAAAATAATTTTAGAATTAACACACGGTGAACTAATTGAACCTTTTGTAGAAAATTCGACTGGATCAGAGCAGACAAATAAAATCAGTTGAAATACTCTTTAATAGTTGAAATGCTCTTGACATTATTGTTGGCGTTTGCTGTGACAAAACTGCAACCAACACTGAAAAAATTGCATTCATGATATTATTCTGATTCTGATACTATTCTGATTATAGGAGTCGTGAACTTCCTGGTTTAATATGCTTAAGCAGTGATCTGTAATGTAACTTATAGGCCATCTTGAACCAAAATAGCACCTTGATAACAAGATTCTTGACAAGATACATAATCAGATAATCTGGTTTGGTTAAGCTGGACATTAGAGATTGAATCACCTACCTACAATATATTGTTATGGCAACATTAAAGCTTGCAAAACTGAACTAAACAAAAAAGTTTTAAAGAGAGGGTACAAGATTTTTTTTTTCAGCTTATGTTTACTACCTTGATGGACATTATGTTTACTACCTTGATGTTCCTGTTATAAAATGTTATCAGACAAGAGCTTACCACAAAGCAGTTTATGCAAATGCAATTTATTTGCTAGCACTTTTTTATCTACATTCTTTTTCTCGTTTTCAAATTTGAATGGTTTCAAAAACTTTTTAATAGATCAGCATATCTCTGAAGCATCATCACCAAATTCACACATTCAGAAGATATAGAATACAACTTTCTAAGATGAATCTAATTTGGACGGAGGATTGTGATTTAATTTTACTTGATATGATTTAGAGGTAAATCATTTCATTATTTTACCTCTTAGACTCCATTTGCAGGTTATTTCATTTTGAACTGCCACATTTTGATTTTATTTGAAGAAGTATGGTACAGAAGTAACAAATTCTATTTACTGTGACTTCTGCTAATTTATTCAACTGTATATAGACTACTTGTTAGGTGCCTAAACTACCACTGTTGAGACAATTGACAAAACAATCTTAAATTGTTTACTTAAAACCAATTCCTCTAAGATAATACTTCTAGAGAATGATTCTTTGTATGCTTGTATTTCCTCTACTGAATTAGTACTTAAAAGCAGAAAAACCTTAGGCTGGCTATAATAATCAACCACAAATAGTTTTTGCCCAACGAAACAAATCAATTATAATAAAAAATTTAAAAATAAATAAAATTTTTAATTCAAATTATTTTATTATAAATTTAAAAACTTATAAAATTTTTTTTGCCTACTGAAACAAATCAGTTTCAAGTTTTTGCCATGATTATGTAGGAGTTTAGTCTTTAATTGGAGATACCGCATAAATGCTTTGTACTTTATTAAATGTTAAATCTGGTTGTTCAAACCTGGCGGCCAGCGGCCAGTGGCCAGAAAACCTGGCGGCCAAGGACCAGAAGTCTGATTTCTTTTTATGCAACAGCATCTTAAGTCAACTTTTAATGCAATCTAAATTCCATCAGTTAACTATTTCATTTTTAAAATTCGGATAAAGCTGGAGATTTGCTGGACAGTATTTTTTAATTTGGCCAGAAAGTAGACTTTCTTGTAATTGTATCAAAAATTCATCTTTCACTTTACATAACATCTTCTGATCCACTTTCTGATACTTTTAATTATTGAATACAAATATATTTTCAAAAAGCATTTGTTGCAATTACATCATTTGTAAAATGAAATAGAGGTGCATAAGACATTGCATCTGCAATAGTAGTCATTCCATGACTTGCTAGCAACATTCTCCTTAGTAAATGAAAATCTAAATAACTTTATACTAAATCATTGAATTCTTGGGGACATCAATAGGTAAACAATAATTTAGTAACTGAAAGTTTGCATTTTGTTTCTAATTTAAAACTTGGTAAACCATACATAGCATTTCTATTTTTTTTATTGGATAACAATTTTTTCAGTCCTTATCAAAAACCTAGATCCACAATCAATTAGTGTGTATATGTCATGAAGGCTCTTGTAAACAACAGTACAAAATCCATTTAATAAACTTCCATCTTTTTCTTTTTTTTACATGAGAGATGTGCAAAAATGTTTTTTCACATCAGAGATGCGCACCACAATTGATGCACACTTTTTTGACATCATGGATTGCTTTAATAAGATGCTCAGTCCAAGTCTCTCATGCTAATCTTGAATTTAAAAGATCTTGCAAAGGTTTTAGTTGTACTCATTTTCTGTATTACCAAAAACTAAAAAAATCACTTATACATTTTATCGCTCTTTTTAAACCATCAAAAAAACTGATTCATTTTTTTTACCATTTCTAAATAAAGTAGTATAATTTTTTACTAAAGACTTCCTGAAGTGATGCCAACCCAAATTGCTATTTGTTGGGTAGAAACAACCAACAAATAATTTTATTATTACAAATAACAAATAATTTTATTATTACTGTATTCACTTCTTCATGAAATTTGATAATATCCTTATTATTTTTCTTATACTTTGTCAAATCATACCATAGACACAATTTATTCTCATAATCAACTGCTAAAAAAAAATCTACAGATTTATTGGAAATTGTTTGGGCAAAAACTTATTTTACTTAATAATAAATATATATTATACTTTTAATTATATTTATTATTATAACATTTTGTATGCATAAATCTTACCTGGACTTGCCAAAACAACAGATGGTCCAATATCATCAAAGGAATCTATTCCTTTTAAATTTGATATATGTTTGAAAACAAAAGGATTTGATATGGAGATCTGTCTTCGGATTTTTTCATTCATGGCACTAATGTAGGTCTGATAAACAGCCATACATTTCTTGGCTAAAGATGAGGCATAATAAACAGGTACATCTTGCAGCTCAGGATGTTGATTCCAATACTCATCTAGAATTAAAAGTAGTTCTTGAGCACGTCCTAATGCAAAAACTGGAATCAAACATCTTCCACCTCTGCTTATGATATTGTGAATTGTGCTAGTAAACCGTTTCTCTCGTTGTTCACGCTTTTCATGAACATGTGTACCGTATGTTGATTCCATTATTAAAACATCAGGGCTAATATTTGGAATTTCAGCTGACATTAAATGACGATCTTCTTGTCTCGAAAAATCTCCAGTATAAAGAATATTTACACCAGCAATTTCTATCATGAACATAGCTGCACCAAGCACATGACCAGCATTGTATGCCCAAAATTTTATCCCACTCACTTCTTTCTCTTGGTGGAAGTGCATAGTTTCAATTTTGTCCATACTTTTTTCTAAGTCTTTTTCAGTGTACAACATTTGATCTGCTGATATGTTGCTAACTTTTATATAATCAGCCAAAAGCCATCTAAACAAATTGCATATGTATATATAAACTAATTCAATACAACAAAGTATGCAAACATTTTTTAATACTATTTTTTAATACTATTTTTAACACTATTAATATTATATATGCTGTTCGCATTAAAAAATGTTAACAATAACACTTACAGTGTTGTTGTTATTAAGATCAATGCCAAATAAATTAATGTAAAAAAAGTTAAAGGCTTAAGGGGGCATCCATAAAGTAGGTATGCAGTAAAACCACTGATTTAGCACTAAGTACTTAACAAATTATATAAAATACTTTAATTAAAATAATTAATTTATTATTAATTATACTTTTTTATTCAAATAAATAAATTAATTAAAGTAACATTTTTAACCTGTAAATAGCTTTAGTAGGGTGTGTCATAAACACTCGTCCTTTAAAATGAGTTTTCTCAAGAAACCATGGCAATCCACCTATAAATATTACAAATTATACTTTTAAATAAATAAAACTCATATAATTTTATAAGTCATTAAAATAAATATCAAAACAGATCGAAATAGACAATTTTTTTTTGCAACTTTTCCATTGCAACACACTTTATTTTTATTTTTTCTATTTGTTTATTTAAAGTTATGCTAAAGTTCTTTTTTTTAATTCATAATACTTTTTTAACTTTATTTTTACTTATTTTTTGTTTATTCTATTGCATTTACTCTATATCATATTGCATGTTTTTATGATGGATTTTGGTGGGTAGAGATAGCTGAAGATGTAAGTAAGCTTGATATAAGATTCAGATTCATGCATCCACATGGACCAGGTAAAAACTTCTTTTGGCAATTGAGAAATGACGAGTGTTGTGTGCTCAATTCTGAAGTTATATGCCTAATTTCTACACCCACTACAATATCAGGTTGTACGTACAACATATCTGATTTAGATTTGGAGAATATAAGAAGTTGGCTCCAAAAAAAAAAAGAAACATTTGAAATAATTTTTTTGTAATTTTATTTATATATTTTGCATTTAGAATTTATCTTTTTTTTTTTCTTTTTTTTCAAATCCTTGGATAAAAAGCTGAGAATGAGGGGGGGGGGGGTTTAAATAAATCCCACTGTTCACCTTATTATGTCAATGACTATGTTAGTCTTAATCTACTAAATAATACCATAAAGATATTAGTTGTTAAAATGTTTTAAAAAACATTTCAATATCTTTGGTTTTAAAATTTATGATTTTTAAACTCGTGAAAAGACTAAGTTTTGAGTACATATTTTGAAATGAGTTAAGTATTTATTGATTTGAAATAATGAAAATAAATTGTTTCTCAATTAAAATCTTAAACTACAAAAAAAATATTTTTTAAAATTGAATTTTAATAATTATTTATTACTAATTCATTTTATGTATTAAAAAAAAAGAAATTCAGAAGGTTGGAGAAAGGGGAGGGTCCAAGTTAGTCAGAGGCCCCCTGGCCCTCTCTTGGTCAATATAAATATCCTAGTCAATAAATAACACTATTTGATGCTTTTTAAATAAATTTTTTAAAAAACATTTCATTTGCTTTTGTTACAAAATTTAAATTTTTCTAAAAAGACAAATTTTAAACGCAAATTTTGGTCAAGTATTAGAGAGAATTGATGAATCTAATTTCTTTGAATCTTTTTGAAATGAATGAATGAATCTTTGAAATGAAATGAATGAATCTTTTTTCAGTAGGCCTAAGATAAAATATTGATATACAATTAACCTTTTTACTCAAGATTTTGGGCCACAGTCATTTTACCTCCATAAGTCATTAATTTACAAGTCAATAATTTTGAACAAAATTGGATAAACGAGGCATTTCCTAAGATAATTTTTTTTTTTTTTTTTAAACATCTTCACTTCCAACAAGGCTGCAAGCAACCACTATAAGAGTTGGAAGTTACTGGAAGAGAAAAGACTAAATCTGTAGAGCAAGATAACGATTGACTGATAACTTAAAAGATTGCAAATTATATGAATCAGGAAAGCAAGATGAAGGAAGCGAATTCCAAAGAACTGATGTTCGAAGAAAAAAAACTAGAAGAATAAGAGTTTTTGAAGCACTTAGGAACAGTCACAGAAAAAGGATGAGACTTAATTGAATGGCGAGTAACACGAGAATGAATTTTAGTAGATGGCACAAGGGACGCTAGCTCTTTAGAGCAGTGCCCATTATAGTATTTGTAGAAAAGAGAAAGAGAAGCAACATTACGACGATGTGACAAAGGTTGGAGATTGGCTGCCAGAGCAGGTCCAACTATGTTTACAATTCGCTTTTGCACCTTGTCTAAAAGAGAAAGAGCATCATTAGAAGATCCGCCCCAGATGTGGCAACAGTATTCCATACAGGGACGGATTTGAGATTTATAGAGATAGAGAATAGAATCTGGAGTAAGAAAGTGTCGAGCTCGATAAAGAGATGCAACCTTAGCAGATGCTAATTTTGCAATGGATTTGTTATACGGTTTAAAAGAAAGATCAGAAGTAAGAGTTAATCCTAGAAGATGAATGGTAGATGACTCATCTAGTACATTACCATTCATAAATATAGGAAGATCTAAATTATTACGATAACGATTGGCCGAATAAAATTGAGTTTTATCTGAATTAAAGTTCACCAGCCACTGTGAGCCCCATGCTGTAGCAGAAGTGAGATCCTTTTCAAGCTCAGATACCCCCTCCAAGCAATCAGAGAGTGTAGGCTTCTTATCATGACAAGAGTAAATGGTAGTGTCGTCAGCGAATAATGCCACCTTAGATGTGAGAATATCTGGAAGATCGTTAATGTAAATTAAAAAGAGTATAGGGCCAAGGATTGAACCTTGAGGAACCCCTGAAGTTACAGGATGTGAAGAAGAGTGTTGTCCATCGAGGACAACTTTTATACTACGATTGGAAAGAAAGGACTCAATAATCTTAAAGACGTTACCAGCTACACCATAAGAAGAAAGCTTATGGAGAAGACCAGCATGCCAAACTTTATCAAAAGCTTTAGAAATGTCAAGTGCGATAGCCTTAACCTCTCCACCTCTATCTAATGCACGGTAAAACCTATCGGTTATTACTGTTAGCACATCAGCTGTAGAACGAGAAGACCGAAATCCATATTGATGATCAGAAAGTAAGTTATTTGATTCAAGATGAGAGATTAAGTGTTTGTTGATTAAAGATTCAAAAACCTTGCTTATGACAGGAAGAAGACTAATGGGACGGTAGTTAGATGAATCAGATCGCTCTCCGGAATTTTTGAAAATAGGGATAACAGATGCTGCTTTCCAGCATGATGGAAAACAAGACTCTGATAAGCACTTGTTAAATAGTTTAGAAAGTATGGATGAAAGCTCCGGAGAACACCTCTGCAAAACTACAACAGGAATGTTGTCAGGACCACAAGCTGTTGAAGAGTCTAAGCAGGAAATTATTTTAGATACAGAAGCTGAAGTGATGCGAATGTCAAGCAAGGGATCAACCTGTTTGACGGCTATGTCAGGTAAAACGCAACTAGTGGAATCAAGAGATGATATTGATGAAAAGTTCTTAGCAAACAATCCAGCTTTGTCTTTAGGTGAGGTGACAAAGTCTGAACCATACAAGAGAGAAGGAATAACAGATTTGCCCTTATTATTGATACTGTTAAAGATTCTCCAGAAGTCTCGAGAGCCTAATTTTTGTGATGAGATACGAGATTTATTGACCTGGGAATAGCGAGCTTTGGCGTCAGACAAAACCTTTTTACAATGGTTTCTGGCGATAGTGAACAGATGTCTGTTTTCTGGAGAATTGTTTTGCTGATAGATATGGAAGTAACGGTTTCGATTAGAAATTGCTGCAGCGCAATGTGAGGAAAACCAAGGAGAAGAGTGAGGCTTGACCTGGAATCGTCGAGAGGGAATAAAAGATTCCATGCCAGCCTGAATCCACGAAGTTATGTAAGAAGCACATTTGTCAGCAGGAAGACGAAAGATTTCTACCCAAGGGCCATCACGAAGAAAATCACGGAAAGAGTCCCAGTCAGCATTAAGGTAGATGTATGTGGTACGATGATAGGGGGATTCTGATGAAGTAGAAGAATTTGATAATAGTTTTAGAGAGATCAAACCGTGATCAGAAGTACCTAAGGGTGAATGTGGAGAAATCGAGCACTGACTAGGATCCAAAACAAGACATAAGTCGAGTAGAGAAGGTAAATGATTAGGGTTGTCTGGAAAACGAGTTGGAAAGTTGACTATTTGAGTTAGAGATTGAGAAAGGCAAAAGTTGAGGGCCTTAACGCCAGCAGAGTCACTGACACTAGAGCCAAGCCAATCGGTGTGATGGGCATTAAAGTCACCAACAACGACGATATTGGCCGATGGATAAAGAGAGAGGGCTTGGTCAATTTGATCAGAAATAACATCAAGAATAGTGCAATCTTGGGATGAAGGAGAGCGATATAGAACAAAGAGAAAGGCGATAGAGTGAAGTTGTGCTAAACGAAAGCACATAAATGAATAGTCTGTAGATTCAAACCTAGTTTCACGACAAATGGGTGAGTTCTTACGAATGTAGATGCCCAGGTTAAGCATGTGATTATTGGAGTCTTTACGAATTAAAGGAAGATAACCATCAACACTAAGATCACAAGATGGGACAGCCGAACTCAAATTAGTCTCACAAAGAGCAAGTAGGTCTGGTGAACTTTGCAAGAGATAAGACTCAACAGAAGAAAAGTTACTTCGAAGACCACGAATATTAGTAAATGATAGGTTTAGAGAACTTGGTGATGACAATGGTTTTTTGTGTTTTTTAGTTTTAGGTACTTTAGTCATTTTAAATTTATAAAGAACTTGACTCAAGTATAGATAGTACTCAGTACACTATTTAACAACTAAGCAATAGCCTCATTACTATTAATAAACCCTAAGCCGTAACAAAGGGCTCCAAATGTGGCCTCTGCAATGCACACCAAAAGTACAAACAGGGACACCATCCATGCGCAACATGGCACTGTTAGTACTCTGATATTTTTCGGCTGTTGATGGAATCAGCCTCTCTGAGAGCTACCACAGAGTTCGGGAAACCTGACTACCAGCCGGCCTCAGAACCATAAAACTGAGTTTTAGAGCTGTACCCTCATTAGGAGATAATAGAATGAGTTGCCCAGTCATAAAAATAGAGACACAAGCAATACCCACGCATCAAGAAGATAATTGTCAAGAAGATAATTGAACCTTGAGAGTGCTATTGGATCTTCAAGTAAAAATTTAAAGGGGTACCAAATTTTAAGAAATTTCCCTTAGACATTATGAAGATACCATATGTCAAAATTGCTTTGTAGTCACTTCAGATAATCACTAAAATGCCAGTCTGACCATATCTGTGGAACCTACGTGTATTTTTAACTAAAATTCAGATATTATTTTTTTAAAAATGGACTGCAAGTGAGGTAAAAATGATCAAATTC